AAAGAAAGAAAAAGAAAAAACTGTAAAAAAAGAGCCAGGCAATAAGGGAAAAGGTGCTTTCAGTGCAGAGAGGTAAATGGGGCAAGGCAGGAGTAGAATCGAGGAACCCAGTGTTCAGTGCAGCCCTCATGCCTCCACACTAAAGTAGGTTCGTGCACATCTATGGTGGGTTTGCATTTTTTAAAAGAGAGACGGTGTCTTTCTTTTTCTCCAAGTTTGGAGTGCTATGGCATGAGCACAGCTCACTGCAGCCTTGAACTCCTGTGCTCAACTGATCCTTCCACCTCCAGTGAATAGTTGGACCACAGGCATGCACACCACCATGCCTGGCTAATTTTTAAGTTTTTTTTGTAGAAAGGGAGTCTCACTATGTTACCTTGGCTGGCCTTGCACTCCTAGGCCCAAGTGATCCTCCCAGCCCAGCTTCCCAAAGCAGCCCAGATTCCCTCTAGAGCCGAAGCTACAAGCTGGGCCCCATGCAAAGTGCTGAGTACAGTGGTGAGCAAGGCAGCCAAGTCTCACCATGACCGCAGACTGCCTTCGGGAAACTTCCATTATCTCCAAGGAGATGAGATGTGCAGCAAAAAGAATTTTATGGTTGGGGACAACATGAGGAGCTATATTAAAGGATCATGGCATTAGGAAGGTTGAGAACTACTGCCATAAGAGGTCTCATTGAGCCCTTATCATTTAGCGAGCACCTCTCATATACCAGACACTGTGTTAGATCTATACATACGTGATCCTCACACCTTATGAAGTAGCTGTTATTCTGCCTTCCTCATTTTACAGATGAGGAAATAGAGGCTTAGCAGGGTTAATTACTTCCATTTACTAAAAAATAAATTACTTTCACTTACACAAAAATATTAAAACCCAGGTCATATTACACAATCTAGACTTAACCATATTGCTTCTCTAGCCACGTGGCTCATGCCTATAATCTCAGCACTGTGGGAGGCTGAGGCAGGAGAATTGCTTGAGCTCAGGAGTTCAAGACTTGTCTGAGTGAAAGTGAGACCCGATTCATTAAAAAAATGAAAAACTGTCTCAGTGCCTGTGGCTGCAACAATGAAGGCTGCAACCAAAAAATAGCCGGCATTGTCGTGGGCACCTGTAGTCCCAGCTACTTGGGAGGTGGAGACAGGAGAATTGCTTGAGCCCAGGAGTTGGAGGTTGCTGTGAGCTGTGATGCCATGGCACTCTACCTAGGGCTACAGCTTGAGGCTCTGTCTCAAAAAAAAAAGGAATAAAAAGAAAAACCCAGCCAGGTGTCTTTGTGAGCACCTGTAATCCCAGTGACTTTGGGAAGCTGAGGCAGCAGGATGCCTACAGCCAGGGTCTGAGGTTGCAGTGAGCTATGATGCCATTGTACTCTGCTCAGAGCATAGGGTGGGACTCTGTTTAAAAAAAAAAAAAAGTATTGTTCTCCTTTCACAATCTGACATAACATAAAACTCCAAGGCACAATCTGAGGCCTTATGGAAGATGTAGACTTTGGGCAGGTAGGGAGGAAGTGAGAGGACATGTAGCCAGGGGAAGGCATTACTGGGCGCTGTGTGAGGGGACAGGGCACAGAGTAGCTGTGCCAAGGACTAAAGCAGTACCCTCTGCTCCCTCCCCAGCTCCCTGGAGATGACCTGCTATGACAGTGATGATGCCAACCCTCGCAGCGTGTCCAGCCTCTCCAATCGCTCGTCCCCTCTCTCCTGGCGCTATGGCCAGTCCAGTCCGCGGCTGCAGGCTGGTGACGCGCCCTCTGTGGGTGGTGGAAGCTGCCGCTCTGAGGGTCCGCCCGCCTGGTATATGCATGGTGAGCGGGCTCACTACTCCCACACCATGCCTATGCGCAGCCCCAGCAAGCTCAGCCACATCTCCCGCCTTGAGCTGGTGGAGTCCTTGGACTCTGACGAGGTGGACCTCAAGTCTGGTTATATGAGTGACAGTGACCTCATGGGCAAGACGATGACCGAGGATGATGACATCACTACTGGGTAAGCACAGGGGGTCCTTGGACAGTTGGAACAGGGAGAAGGGGAGGACAGTGGAAGGACTAATAGGATGGGATATCTTAAAAGTGGAGTGGAACCCAAAAGAGGGGTTTTGTGCCGTGACAAAAAGGATCTACACAGGGCCTTTGCACGCAGGTTGTAACTGCCTCTGAACTTTCACAGGGTTTTTATTCCAGACCTGGTGCAGTGGGCAGGCCTACATCTGAGAAGCTGATTGACCAGTGGAGGCACCTCCCTCTCATTGGCCCCTGTGGCTGTTCTTCTATGGTGTGCTCTACCTTCCTCTCTGGTTTTTCACCTCCAAAAAAATTGGCCCACAGAGCCCTGAAAAACTGTTTTAGTACCAGCTGTTCTGTGAGCTGGGTCTAGACCCTGGGTAGCCTCATCTGCTTCCCATTTGCAAAATGAGAATGATAATACTACATCTATCTACAGGCTAAGAAGAGAAAATGAGAGCAAGTGGGTGAGAGCACTGGTCAGACAGAAAGTGGTAGTCTTATCTCACCTCCTTTGCCAGGGGTTCCCAGCCTCCTGGCCCTCAGTCTCCACTCCTCAGGTTTCTTCTCTGTAAACCTTCTACCATTAATGCAATCTCCCAGACCCTACTGTCATCTATCAAACCCTTCTTTCCTGCCCTTTGCCCTACAGGAACTCTTATCTTCTTACCTTTCTCTGTCTTAATTATTAGGGTTGGGCCTGTGGAGACTTGGACAGAGGTGACAGTCCACAAAGAGAGGAGGTGAGAGGATAGGGGAGCACTGGGCTTAGAGCGTCTTGGCCAACTGTTCTAAGCCCTGAGACCAGACTGCTGCCGTGGCTCTGTAAGCTTTGGCGTGTCTCACGGCTGATTGCCACTCCCCATTCTTCATGCTTGATTTATTGGGACTCCCCCACAAGGGACCACACAAGCAGCAGCTGTACCCCTTCCCCTCCTCCTTCAGGACTTAGTGTCTTACTACGAGGCACCGCCTCTCCCCAGTAAAAATCTCAGACTTCAAGGGGGTAGAAAGTAGCCTCTCCCCGGAAAAGACCACAAGCCAAGCTTCAGGCCATTCACTGATCCCCACCCCTGGGGACAAACTTGGAGAGCTCTGGTCAGGGCCTGTCCAGCTTATGAGGCTGCTCTGGAGCAAAACAACTGACGTATGAATGGGGTTGTTTACTGCTTATTAAGTCCCAGGGGCTAGCCAATCTCACGCCAGCTCTGCTGGCCTGGAGCTAGGACAGGCCCTGAGCGCCTTCTGTGGTCAGAGGCCTGTGCCGGGCAGAAAGGGCAGCCCAGGTGTCTGAGAAGCTGCTCCACACAGACTCTGCCTACAAAGTGTCTCTGAGGAAGTGTCACGTGCCTGCCCTCTGAGAGATCCCAGCTGGTCAGAGCAGAGGGAGGCAAAACCCTTGTGGGCTGAAGGGCTCAGAAATTTCTCCAGGTGTTGGAAGGCACAGGACCCTTGCCTTGGACACCTGCCAGACCAAGGAAGGTGGCAGGACTTCTGGCACTTACCTAGCTTTCTGAGGCTGGGCAAGTTAGTTCACTTCCCCAGGCTTTCATTTGTCTATCTGCTAAGTGCAGATAATAGTAGAACCTATCTCAGGCCATTCTGAGGATTAAATGGGTTATTATATTTAAAGTGCCCAGAATAGTTCTTGGCTGATTATAAATGCTTACTAAATATTAGCTGTTACTTTGTAAGTTGACCACCCAAGGGACTGTAACAAACTAATCCACATACAGAGGCAGTCAGCATAAGGAACTGGGCCTACTGTACTGATATATACATGTGGTGCATGTCCAGTCTATGAAAATTAGGTCAATTTAAGGAGGTGGTTGATGTAGGGAGGTGGTCAACTCTAGAAATTCTACTGTATTTTTATTGCTATTACTATTATTATTATTATTATTTTGAGACAGAGTCTCACTATGTCACCCTTAGTAGAGTACCATGGTGTTACAGCTCATAGCAACCTCAAACTCTTAGGCTTAAGCAATTCTCTTGCCTCAGCCTCCCAAGTAGCTGGGGACTACAGGCACCTGCCACAATGCCTGGCTATTTTTTTTGTTGTTGTTGTTGTTGTTGTCACTGTTGTTTAAGCAGGCCCGGGCTGGGTTTGAACCCGCCAGCCCCAGTGTATGTGGTTGGCGCCCTAACCACTGAGCTATGGGCACCGAGCCAATTGCTATAATTATTGTTGAATCCCAGATTGATGGAGAGGCACAACCCTTGCCCTCTAGGAGTCTGTAGTATAACCAGAATGCCACTCATTTGGAATCAGGAGCAAGGACAGATCTAGCAGTGGCTGGCCAATCCCAGAGGTAGAAACAGGGTGTGGGAGCATGGAATGGGGGAGAGCAGGCAAGATGTCCTTTACCCACCCTCTAACCCCCCTCTCTTTATCCTCTTTTCTCTGGACATGTATTTGCTTGTGAATCAGTTAAAAATATCAGAGTTCACCGAAGCTGGCATGAATAAGATCTTGCCCTCTCTGTACCCTCTGCGCCTCACTCCACCCCCAGCTAGAAGCCCAGGGAAGCCTGGAGTTAGCATGGAGAATATAGAATGAATTGTTGGCTTGACGATGTCCACGGAGTAGACCTTACTGTAAACTGTGATGTTAGTTTGCAAGATATTTTCACGTGGGTTTTTAATAATCAGTTTTTAATTAACAGTGACCTTAACACTTTACTTTGTTAACTCCCGTACCAGGACTGTAAACACACCCATCCTTAAATGTCAGAGTTGAAGGGAATCAATTTATAATCCCCAGTTTATGTAAACACTCACTCCTCAATTATGTGTTTTCATGTTTAAGTGTTGTTGTTTTAATTAGAAACAGGGCATCCTAGATTCTAGCAACTCTTTAAGTGAACATGCAAACCTGAGTTGTCCTTGCTCAGCCTCGTGTTGGTTTTCATCCAGATTTTGTAATTTAGAAAATGTCCTCTCCCTAAAAAAAATTGTTTTTCCTGGTTATAAAATGAGTAGGGCTATTCCCTGTAGAGGCAACCTTCTGTGCTCCCGTCCTCACCCACGTGGTGACACCCCCATCCACCCATTAGCCTGGGCACACTGCCATTCACTTTCCTACCTCCCAGGAGTATGGGGCCAGCAGAGTAGGGAAGCTGATCTTTCCCTGCTGGGTGACATAACCAGCCACAAGCCATCCTTCTGTCATTCTGAGTGAGCCATAAAAGATGATAGTGGTTCGGACTGTGCACTGCCCCTAGTTATCTTCCCAACCCACTGTTCAGTCTCAACTTAGCAAGTCAACTCTCTCTGCTCCATCCTAACACCAGACCCCTAACTGGTTGTGAGGTCTGCAAATTGGAGAAGGCAAATTCTTCAAACTGCAGTCAGTAAATTAGAATGAAGAAAGTGACTCTGATAGGACTGCCAAAATAATCATATATTGTAAAAAATATTTACTTCTAAAAATTGTGGTAAATGCCTGTAATCCTAGCACTCTGGGAGGCCAAGGCAGGTGGATTGCCTGAGCTCATGAGTTCAAGACCAGCCGGAGCAAGAGTGAGACCCCATCTCTAAAAATAGCCAGGCACTGTGGCAGGCAACTATAGTCCCAGATACTTGGAAGGCTGAGGCAAGAGAATCATTTGAGCCCAAAGTTTGAGGTTGCTGTGAACTATGA